TATATGTTTTTTTTATAAAATAAGTAAACTCAACTCGCGACAAGCTTTTATATTTGGTATGAAATTTTAAAAGTAAGTAAATATAAGTACTAAGTAGATGTTCAATTGGGTATTTTTAAAATTTTAAGTCTTAAAAAGGCCTACAGGAAAGTCCACGATAGCATGAGTATATCTCCTAAAGTACACTCATAATAAATATTCTTATTTAATTAAAAAGTACCAAGGAACGCACCCGAGCGATGCGAGAATATGTCTCTAGTTATGACCTAAGTTTCATTACTGGCTAAAGAAAATAAATGATGCTTCTGGTTCATAATAAAGGTTGCATTGTTCTTTCTTATTTATAGGATTCTGGTTCTGTATTAAGCGTTGATTATTATTAAAGAGCTAGAAAATGTTTTAATAAAAATAGGACTTGAGTTAGTTAAAAAGTCATGGGATCACTAGTACTTACTTACATAATAACAGCCATGTAATTACAGTATTATTTTAATTGCACTAAAATTGCAGTTATTTTGCAGTTTACTAAGAACTGGACACCTCAATTACTCAACTTAGCCGTAGGATATTTCTTGCTATTGATTGGCACCTTGAGAAGGTAGAAAAACGTGTTTCCGGTTAAAACTAAAATATCTTTAGCCAACTCCCTTTTATTGCCGATATTCGTCTGTGCTGACTCATGCTACCTAGATCTATCTCAAAAATTACTCAATAAGCTTGAGCGTCTCCAGAATCTTATTATAAGATTGGAATTAGGAAGTATGACCACATGACGTAGTATTGAACAAAGTTGAGATGGGTAACAGTTCACAATAGACATAATTTACACGCGCTTTCTCTATTATACACAATCCTTTACCATCCTGACACTCCCACCTACCTCAAAGAACACTTTAAGTTCCTAGGGGCAAGTTCCTAGGTCGCTCTAGAGCTTTGCTCTCGTAGTGAAAGATTCCTAGAAATCCCATTATCCTATAGCGAATCTTTCACTATTAAGACGGTGATGCTCTGGAACGAGCTTCCAAATGAAATAAGACAGTCCAAGTCAGTAAGCATTTTTAAAAAGCGTCTCAAAACACACCTTTTGTCGCTTTACAACTAGGCTGTCATTATAGTTGCATGTATTATATTATTGTGTATATTATGTATGTTTATTATTATATTATTATGTATATGTATGTTTAAGTATTTAAACAATAAATATTTATTGTATAAATAGTATTTTATATATGTATTTTTATGTATGTTTATATGTAATACGTTTATTGAGTACACTTTATGCACCTTTCCGCTTTCTGTTTAATTTTTTATCCTACTTTTAGCGGTTGCTTGTAAGGGATCATTGTTAATGATAAACACATTTCTTTAAATGTATTTTTTTGTATGTATATTTTTTGTATGTATATATTTTTATTTTTGTATGCAATAAAGTGTTTAAATAAATAAATAAGAACTTTACGATTCTAGAGTTATTAAAACGGGCGAGTTTTGCGCAAATCGTGGCAGTCGAACAGTGATACGCGCATAGCACACCTGAAATTGTATACTCGCTCGCCTGTCACTTTGTTTCAGAACATAAAAAAAATCTAAATGATTTTGTGGTTATTACTAGTGATACTTGTGCTGTGGACATGTCTGTATAGATTTCGAAGGAGAAGAATGTACAGTCTAGCGTCAGCTATACCAGGGCTGAAAAATGAGCTTCCTGTTATAGGGATAGCGCACAAGTTAACGGGAAGTGCTGAGGGAAAGTATTATTTTTCATTTAATTCTTATAATTTCTAATATCAAATAAATATTTTTGGTGAACATTTTCACAAGTTGTTTACCTTAGTTTTACTTTAATACTTTAATAATATTTTGTTTAAATTGAAGTGATCCAGTAATTTTTACGCGTGTACTAGTTTAAACCAGTTTGAACTTCTCCAAATAGGATATACAGAAACTTTATAGAGAAAGTTCTAAATATTTTTAAAATAATATTTATATAAAAAATCAAAAATAGAAAATATATTTTTCTTTTAAATATTATGTTTTATGTGATTATTTTTAAATGAATATATCTTGGTAACAATAAATGGTGTCAAAAGTCCCACAAAAAAAACCCTCCAAAGGACGGAATAATTAATTTCTTTTAAGATTAGGTTCGAAGGTTGGAGTTGAACTTAACATTGTATAACGCTCAATATGAGGTAAAATTGTTGTTCTTAAAACGAATATACTGCTCTTATTTCTTTTCAAATGTGTATCTATTTATCTCATTAATTATCTTATTAATATTATAAAATAGCGACTCACCCTCGCTTCGCTCGGGTTCGTCCCTTGCTTGCTTGTCCCCATGCTTGTCTTCCCTGGGTCTCAAACTATCTTCTTACCAAATTTCATCTAATTCGGTTCAGTAGATCCAGAGATTACCCCCTCACTACTACACTCTAAATAAGAATTATAGTTATAAATATATAAATTTTATTAGGATAAATCAATAAAAGGTTAATAAAAAACAAATAGACTTTTTTTTATTTTTTATAAAATTAATTTATATAAGTATAATTTACATTTTTACGTTTAGTCTAGATTTCTCAGAGATGAGATATTTTCCCGCAGTAGAAAGTATCCTATATGTTGACCCGTATAACCAGCTATCATCATAAAAAATTTCATCAAAATCTGTTCAGTGGTTTTTCCATGATGCGGTCACATACAGGCAGACAGACAGTCAGACTGACAAAAATTCTAAAAACTATAGATTTGGCCTTCGTATCGATAGTAATGACTATTTCAATACGATTTTCAACCGACTTCAAAAAGGAGGAGGTTCTCAATTCGACTGTATGTTTTTTTTTTATGTTTGTTACATCAGAACTCCGTCATTTATTAACCGATTTGGACAATTTTTGTTTTGTTTGAAAGGGTGTACTTCCAGATTGGTCCCATTTAAATTTCAAAGAAAAGTACCACCCCTAAGGGTGGAAAAACAACTAATGATGCATTTAACCTACTTCTAATTGTCATATTGACTTGAAACTTTGCAAGTATTTCTATTTCCGTTGATAGTACAGTGGTTCGGTGTTGTTGACCTGATCTGATGGCAAGGCCAGAAGGTGGATAGGTGGAACTCTTCAACGGCTAATAGTAGATACTTTGAGTTTGGGCTTATTTTGTTTGATTTGACAAGCCTAACACGTTAGAATCCTTACTATGCTACTACTGTCTACACTAAAAAGGGAAAAATAAAAACTTTTTAACAAAAAAATAAAAACCGACTTCAAACAAAAGCACTAAAAAGTAAAAAATAACTGATTGGTAGTTTTCATTTACTATACATACCTAATCAAATATTTTCGAAGTCGGTGTGCTTTGGCTAAGGAATTAAAGCCTACCTATTAAATACATACCTAATCAAATATTTTCGAAATCGGTGCCAGCCCATACAAAGCAAAGCACACCGACTTCGAAAATATTTGATTAGGTATGTATAGTAAATGAAAACTACCAATCAGTTATTTTTTACTTTTTAGTGCTTTTGTTTGAAGTCGGTTTTTATTTTTTTGTTAAAAAGTTTTTATCCAAAAAATATTTAATGTACAGATTTATGTATAGATAGATTTTATAACTTTATTTTTCAACATTTTGTTTCTTGTTTATACTACATAGGTAAATATCGCGAAAAGCTTTTATATCATATAAATTGTGTAATGTAATAAATGATGGATTTTAATACTTTCTTGGATTTACGCGAATATTTGACGTCTATACTTCCATACTAATATTACAAATGTGAAAGTGTTTGTTTGTTTGTTTGTTTGTTTGTTTGTTTGTTTGTTTGTTTGTTTGTTTGTTTGTTTGTTTGTTTGTTTGTTCGTTTGTTCGTTTGTTTGTCTGTTCTTCTTTCACGTCGAAATGGAGAGATGAATTGGCGTGATTCTTTTTGTGGAGTTAGTTGGATGGTTGGAGAGTAACATAGGTTCCTTTTTACTGTGGGAGGTTATCTCATTCCCACGGGAAAACACGTTATTATACAAGCCAAAAAATTATTTATGATCAGAATTACTTAAATTTTGGTATTAAATTATTAATGCTCTTCAATACAATTAAATAAATACGTGTTTTAGCATTTTTCAAAATTTATCTCATAAGGGGGTAAAATAGGGGACGAAAGTTTGTATGAAACTTATCTTTTTAGTTCTCTTTGTAGTTTTATCGCGAGCGTAGCCGCGGGCTCTGCTAGTTTTGATTTTTAGTTTGGTTTGGTGGGTTTTATTTAATTTAAAGCTTATTTTCTTCTTTTTAGAGCATTTAAATAAAAGCTTATTTTTTAAAATGTTTTTTACAATATTTTATTTTTTTATTTTTGAAATTATACTCGTTTTGGCACATTTGGAAAAAAATATGAGAGCACAATTTTTACGATGCGCACGCACACCGACAGTCAAAAATCAACATGATGAAGTTAGCTGCATTCTTTTTACAAACACGGAGTTGTGACATATGGGTAAAATCTTTAGCTATTTTTGTTCTGTTACGCCAAAAAAGTATAACTTCTGATACGTGCATACATGAGTACACACACACACACACGTTTTTTTAGTTATTCGCATTTTTCTCAACAAACCTTTTCATATAAAATACATGTATCATGGTGGTACATAAAAATCATAGTTAGCCATCTTTAGGAGTCTGCCATATTGTATTTACAATAACATCACTTTGCGTATTGTGTTTCGCTCATCAAGCTCTTTCATTTGATGCCCATATCATAAGGGTCACTATGGAAAAAATATATTTACACTTTGCAACGTTGACCATATTGGAATAAAAATAGGGTAAGTTAGATAATCGTGCATTGTCTCGGAAACCAAACTACCGTGCGAAATTTCATCTCAATCGGATATTGGGAAGTAAGTTAAATTTAACTTGCAAGATTCCATTACACAACTCCCGACAGGTGTAACTAAATAAAAGCTTGTAATAAAAAATGCTTTATGCTACTTCCAGATATCATGTACAACTTACAAGCATGGTGTTACGAATCGCATCAACACGATGGTTTGATCAAAGGGTGGCTAAATCATATACTTTACTTTCGTAAGTACTTAAATTTAAGTTACTAGCAGAACCCGCGGCTTCGTTCGCAGTAAAACTACAAAAAAAAAACAAATTATTTTGGCTTTATGTTATGTTGATGGCTGTAATGATTTTTAAATGCGTGACTACATGAGCATGATTTTGATAACGTTATTTTTTTTCGTTTTCGGAATAAAATCATATTATTTCTTAAAGATATTATGAAAGACTAGTTTAGTTTTAGTAATCGTAACTCAAAATATTATACACTCTGAAATGATATTTAACGTATATTGTGTAAATAAATTTTCGTTTAAGTATTTAGCAAGCTTCACTACCTGTATTTTTTGAAAATAAAAAATTTAAGTCTGAGAAGAGAGTACAATGATACTACTTACATAAAATATTTACGACTTCAGAATCATGTAACTCGGCTAATATAGGCTTTTAATTTGTTAGTTAAAAGCCAACGTTAACATCTACGTTATTTTTAAAGACCCAATGCTATGTACACTTGAAACATATATTCTCCCTTCTTTCCCTCTCTTTTTAATACATACATATATACAGTACCATTCTTATTTCGTTATAGTATAGCAAAAAAATGCTCTCTTTTAATTTCCATTGAATTTATATGTTGCCGTATCGAATTTGTAATATGTATCATGTGTACATTTATGCAATCACTCTAGATTCCCTTAACTTAGTCTACACTAATAAATTACGAACAGAGAATTCGAATTTAGTTAAGAACTTCTTTGTATACCATATTGGTGAAGGTTCTATCTGGTTCTGGGTTCTGCTAAAATGTTCATGTAAGAAGCAAACCTCTCTTAAGTCTAAGCCTGCTACTTTTAACGACTGGGCCTGAGAATTATTAATGGTGATTGCAAAGCAAATTGTAAGACCAATTTACAATAGATAAAACTCAAAGACGTAGTTAGAGATTATCAGTGGAATTCGAGGAATGATTATTGATTCCCCATGAGCAGAACTAGCTAACACAGTGGCTACTATAATGTTTATTGGAATACTCGCTATCTAGTCCCATAACATAGCTCAGTAGCTTATTAATTACAGATGTGCCATTCTTGAAGAAGAGTTTATGAGAAAGGATGCCTAGATGGTAGGTTAGCACTGTTAAGGACTTCCACAAGATGGTGGATTGCTTCATCTATTATATCACTGTATTCCCAAACCTATATTCTTTTTCTGACTCTATAAAGGACTTTAGCAGGATGTTAATAAAAGCAGTAGCACTGTTGTTTTTGAGGATCAGTGTAGCATATTCACAAAGCCGACCAAAGACTTTGTATATTAGAAACATCAGCGTATGCTAGCTAGATTTTCTCTCTCACGCTCTCTAGGTCTGTTATTGTTGTCACTGCTGTGGCCAGCCGAAAAATTACACATAATCTTCTTTTGGATTCGGATAATCTCCATTCTCTATTTTATATCCCATACACTTTTGATAATATTAGATATGTTATAAAGTTAATGTACTTTTAATTATCGTATTAGTTCAATAAATGCTCATTACTAAAGGCTAGACTTACCCGAAAATTTTCATGATATGCCACTGTTTTGTGCCACTCATATCTAATGCTTTGCTGCTCTTTACATCAAATCCTCGATTCACCCTGCAGGGGGTCTAGCCGTATTTCTGATGACACGTTTGGCTTTGTAGTGACCCTACTTGCTGTGCCAGCGGTCGCGGGTTCGAATCCCGCTAGGGGCATTCATTTGTGTGATGAGCACGAATACTTGTACTCCAGCTATGGGTGTTTATATTTATAATATGTATGTATTTAAAGTTATATATGTATACTGTATCAACTTTCTAGTATCCATAACACAATTGAATTATATGGAGCTGTGTGTTAATGTCCCAACATATTTATTTATTTATTTATATTTCACTTTCCCGTATACGGGCGCTATTCAAAAATACGTTAGATCAAACTCGGCTATCTATTTAAAAATTATATATCTCGCTCATTGTCATACCAGCTCGGGGGTTTCCTTTTGCGTATTCCCTTATATCCAATGCGATCTTGCAGGTAAAATTTAAGCAATGGAGAAAATAGACTAATCCTATATTTTTTCTTAGATTGCATTGGTGCTAATATTTGAAATTTTAAATGTAACTATCTTTTCGGATTTCATGAGCTTTTATTTTATGGTTCCGGACGTTTCGGATGATTTGCACTCGATTATGGTCACGAAAGAGAAAATTTAAACAAAGAAACAGACAATTGGCAATGAATTATCTTACAATATTTTTTAATTTTAGTTTGATAACATTTTAATTTTTTATAATTTAAATAAGCGCACTGGTTGAAGCCTTCATTTTGAGATACATCTTTGTACGTTTATGCTTCCCAACCGCCGCGTACCGTTGAACCTGTTTCGATTGAATTATCGCTTAAATATTAAAGTATATAATGTGAGCAATATAAAATTATTTAAGCGAAAATCTACATTCCTTATTTATTTTTAGTGGTGACAAATCCCATGGACGTGGAAGTGATATTAAAGACATGCTTAGAAAAAGATGATTTACATAGGTTTCTTAGAAAGGTTCTTGGCAATGGCAGCGTATTTGCACCAGGTAATTATTTTTTCGAGTATAGATAATATACATAATTAATTAGCAGTTATATTTGCTTCATGATTTTCATTCCTTTCATTCGGTCTATGATTCAGGTAAATAAATTTTATTTTTTATAGTTCCCATATGGAGGCGACGCCGTAAAATTTTAATACCTGTGTTTACTCCCAAAAATATAGACCAATTTGTCACAGTATTTTCTGAGAACAGTCAGAAATTGGTGAAAAAGTTAGTTAGCCGTCAAGGTAAAGGAAAATTTAGCATTTGGCCGTATATGTCTGCTTACACGTTGGATTCAGTAGGTGGTAAGTACATAATATATACAGTATATAATATTAACTATATTGGGAGCGTTAATAATAGTAGATGTATTACTTCTCACCACGGTAAAGCTAATTATTTGGCTAAGTAACCACTTACCTCACCTAACCAGGTGAGCTCGATGGTTTTTCCCATCCGTAATATAAGAAACGAATTGTTTTGTACGTACACTTAAGTATATTTTTAATTTCAATGTATTTCCTTTACTTAAATTACTTTTTAAATAAAATTAAATTTATATTTATTGTTGATCTGCCACTGCTGGTTTTGTATTATCATCCCATCGGATTTGAGAGTGAAAGCAATAGCCCCAATGCACTTTGCACTGGTGTTGACACACTCGAGCTATCGGTCGGGAAGACATCATCATCATCATCCTTTATAGTACTTCTGTTGTTTGACTTCTAGATATATAACAAAACCAGTTTAGGCTGTGGGCTATTTATCAGTAGTGATATACATGATATTACTTGATCATCATGGTTTTAGTAGAGTCGAGATCTATCGCGTTTCCTTTACTAATTAAATATCTGGCTAACAATCATGTTTGATTAATTTATGGTACCTAACTATAATAACTGTTTTCATAAAGTTAATCCACCGGTGGAAAAGGAGACTAAAATTTTTTAGAAATACAAAAAAAATGTTATGTCTCATAAAAATAATATTTGGACATTATATGGCTAATACATTACGTAATTACTTAAAAACATAACAACTACCTTTGTGAAGATAAGTTATTTTTTTATAATTCTTTTTAACTTCCAAAAAAATCCAAATCAGTTCCGGCGTCTTCAAGTAATCGGTGAACATACATAAAAAAAAGATTCCGCCGAATTGAGAATCTCCTCGTTTTTGGAAGTCAGTTAAAAATTGTCGTATTACTACATAGTATAAAACAAAGTCGCTTCCTGCTGAAAGTACGCAACGGATTTTGATGCGACTTTTTTAATATATAGAGATTCAAGAGAAAGGTTTTAGTATATAATTTGTTAAGTTTTTGTATACATTGGCTAAAATATAATGATATTTGTTGGAGGTGTCGGAGAAAATAAGCTGTCTGGGAGCTTTCAACGAAAACGCTGCCTAAACCATTTGAGATATAACAAAATAGAGTATTGTGTAATTGTGTATCTTATATAGGTCTACAGAAAAGTCCGCGGTGGCATATGTCTGTCTCTTAAGGATAACATACTATATCCATTTTAATTTAAAACATATCCAGGGACAAACCCGAGCAAAGCGAGGGTGAGTCGCTAGTTACGTATAAAACTAATCGCGTTAAGAGAAGTGAGCGTATAAAATATAGATTAATTAAAAAAAAAATATTTACAGAAACTGCGTTAGGTGTGAAAATAAACTCCCAAGATGATTCAAATTCTTCTTTTCTGACGTCAATGAATATAATCCTTGACCTCGTGTGTGAAAGAATTTTTCATTTGTGGTTGCAACCAGATTGGCTGTTTAAACTTTTTCCACAGTACAAGTTGCATCAAAAGTCTATAAAAGTTCTGCACGATTTTACAGACGAAGTAAGTACTTTTTAGCGTATCATCAGAAGAGGAAAAGAAGCCATTTAAACAATAGCCACCTGTTTATATTAAACATAATATCTCGTACTGTTTTAGGTCATCGTAAAGAAGCGTGCTGAAATAAGTCAATATAAAAAACTCCAACCTGAAGCTGACAATCATTATAGTACGTATTGAATTTAAGTGTTTTTTTGATACTATATGTACAGATAATACAATTTTAGCAATGAAATAACTAATATATTATTTGTAACTACGTTCTGTCTCTGGTCAGGTCCATATATTGGTCCCTATATAGTTCACCGAATGTGATAAGCAATTAAGCATCGTGTTAAAAAAAATCATACTACATATATAAATCATACTATATATATTATATTTTGATTTAAATCAAAAGTAACTATGGTATTAATTGAGACCTCATTGCACAGTAGATGTCCAATAATCGAGTCTCATTGAAATCTCTCCAGACGTATTCGATGAATATTATTTGACTGAACTAAGAAAAATACACAATTTTTAAACTGTGATTTTAGGTCGATTTTTATTTTTGTGAGGTAGATTTTGTGATTTTAGGTTAATTCGACCCTTATGGTGTATTTTTGTGAAGTGATTAGCAATGTGTCGTTATGAAAAATTTGTATGCACATAAATGAGAGCTTCAAAGAACACCTAACATTATGTAATAAACGTTATTATTTACTCTAGTGTTAAATCTTATCTTAGTCGTCGGCTGTCATCGGACGTGACCGCGCGTGCATTGTAATTATCATAATATGAATATCGCGTCGAAAACGTTAAAATGTTCGAACTGCAATATTGTAATTTGCGAAGTGTTGGCGTTTGTCCAAAATAAGTTGGATGTTATGGATGAACAAAGTATTATCCAAATATGTGAAAGTGCTTTTAGTGAGAATGAAATTGACATAGCGAAGTCGTTACTATTTGAATCCGTGAGTAAACGTCCCTCAATAAGAAAACGCAAAGGGAAGACACTTCGTAATATTGAAGACATTATATGCCTTTTAAAGGAAACAGACCCTGAACAAATACCGATTTTCGTAGCGAAGAGATTAGAGAAATTGCCACCAGTTACATTCGATCATGTTGACGTGACGCCATTACTTAAAAAGATATTAATATTGGAAAAGTCTATGCAATGTATACAAAATGAATACGTTTCTAGAAGTGAGTTAATAAATACATTAAGTGAATATTCTAAAACGACGAATCAACGAAATAATGTAAATATTAAACGAGGAGGTGGAACAAATTTCTGTGATAGTGGACCGATGGAAATTTCAGCATATTGCGAGTTTAATGATTATCCGTCTCTTTCCCGCAACCGATCGCCCGCGAAGCAATTAAGCGACACGACGAGGATGCAGCCGTTGCAGGATACATCAGCTGCGCCGCCGACGGTGGCGCCTCCCGCGACGTCGCACGATCAACGAGCTATTGAGAGTGCGAGGGAGATAAAAATCGATCGCGCTGTGCGTTGCAGTGAAAATATAGAAGAGCAACCGGTTATAGTGGCGACAAAAGAAACAGCTGAGCGCCCGCATAATCAGCCGTATGATAAAAATACTGTAACAAAAGATTATAATGAAGATAGTAAGGCGACTTACTCTGAGGTAGCTCGTAAGGGTGGTAAATGGATAGAGCCTAAAATGAGCGAAGAGTGGGTATTATATCAAAAACGGAGACTTAGAAACCGTCTCATAAGCCAAAAGGGATGTGCCAATGCGTCAGAAGAAAATAACCAAAAATTCAAAGCGGCAGATATAAAGGTGCCGCTATTTATATCTAATGTGGACAGAGAGGTCTCAGAGCAAGATATTATTAATTATGTATATGGAAAAACAAAGGAAAAAGTTTCATTAGAGAGAATTAACATGAAAAGGCAGAAGGATTATAATGCCTATAAAGTTTATGTAACAAAGCATAAAATGGATACTTTCTTAGACGATAAACTGTGGCCCATTGGCATAACCTTTAGGCGTTTCGTGAATTTTCACGAAAAACGGAAAAATATGGAAGTTGTAAAAACAGTAGAAAATAAGAGATAATAATAAAATAAAATAAAATATCATAATATATAATAATTAATTAAATTGAATATGAATAATATAAATAAAATTATTAGTTTTAACTGTAAATCACTCAAGAGGTCATTAGAGGGTGTAAAAGAACTGTGTACATCTGCGGATATCGTAGCCCTGCAGGAAACATGGTTGATGCCTCATGACCTACCAGTACTGAGTACGATAAGCGACAGCTTTGGATGGACTGGTACCTCTGCTGTGGATACTTCGGTGGGCCTAATCAGTGGAAGGCCGTATGGTGGTGTAGCGTTATTGTGGCGCAAAAGTGTGTTTGAAACAGTGTCAGTGGTAGAATGTGACAACGTGCGTATTTGTGCCATCAAAATAACTGTAAGTAATAGATCGGTAATTATTTTTAGTGTATATATGCCTACTAACTCTTATGACAATCTACTAGAATTTAGTAATTGTCTAAGTACAATCAGGTCGGTCATAGAAATACAAGAAAGTAATGGAATTGAAGCTTTCTATATATTAGGGGACTTTAATGCTCATCCCAATGAGCTATTTTACAATGAAATGTTAGATTTTTGTGTTGATCAAAATTGGATATGTGTGGATTTAAACATGTGTAGTAGAAATACATTTACTTTTTGTAGTGAAGTTCATGGGTGTAAACGATGGTTAGATCACTGCATCGTCACTAAATCAGCTTTACAAACGGTTATTAGCGTATCAGTACAATATGACATGTATTGGTCTGACCATTATCCAATTGTATTAGAATGTAGTATAAATAGTTTAAAACCGAAAATTGTACAGCCGAAAATGAGCTCTTTAAATTGTATTATATGGGGTGAGAGGAATTTTAAACAGATAAACCAATATCATGACCTGTGTAACTCTAATTTGTCAATGATAAATCCACAAGAACTTAGTGAATGTTGCGATAATTTGTGTAAAGAAACAGAACATCACGCTATCTTAGATAAAATGTATAGCAATATTATTAACACACTATCAGCGGCCGCTAGGCGCACGTACAGTGGTAAATGTAAAAAAAGGGGAGGCTATGTTACGGGATGGAATAGGCACGTCGCGGGACCGCATTGTGAGGCGCGGCTTAAATTTCAAATGTGGATGTTAGCGGGGCAACCGACTAGTGGTCACGTTTTCAATGAAATGGTAGAGTCTAGGAGACATTTTAAGGCAAAATTAAAATGGTGTCAAAACCGACAGGAACAACTTCAAATGGACATTCTCGCGTCAGATCACTTATCCAAAGACTTTAAGAGTTTCTGGAAGAACACTAATAAAATGAAAACTAGGCCGAGTTTACCCGTGAGTGTAGATGGTCTTTCCGACCATAAAGAAATTGCTGATGCATTTAGGTCGCGCTTCACTATGCGATCACCTCTGGGTTCCACGTTGAATAAGGTGAACGATGCTGAGACTATCACGGCGAGCGGGAGTGAAAAGATTACGGAAAAAATGGTGGCACAAATAATTAAAGAAATGGTTCGTGGAAAATCACCTGGTCACGATAATCTCAGCATTGAACACTTTAAGTATGCGGGAGTTCATCTGCCTCGAGTTCTCGCACTGTTTTTCAATCTGTGTCTAAATCATTCATATTTACCGGAGCCGCTTATGCGGACTATTGTAGTACCAATTGTTAAGAACAAGACGGGTGACACGTCCGATATGAGCAATTATCGCCCCATCTCGCTTGCTACCACCGCAGCTAAAATACTTGACAGTGTGATAAATGGCAGGCTATATAAGCACGTTTCTTTTCAAGATGCCCAATTCGGCTTTAGATCAGGTCTGTCGACAGAAAGCGCTATTCTTAGTCTGAAGCATACTGTCAAGTACTATACTGCAAGGCGTACGCCGGTATATGCGTGTTTCCTGGATTTATCTAAGGCATTTGATCTTGTTTCATATGATGTACTTTGGAGCAAGTTAAAGGACGCAGGTATACCGGCGGAGTATACGTCCCTTTTGAAATACTGGTATGCTAACCAGAGAAATCAAGTAAGATGGGTCGGTGCACTGTCGGATGAATACAGATTGGAGTGCGGAGTGAGACAGGGAGGTTTGAGTTCACCCTTGCTTTTCAACCTGTACATTGACCAACTCGTGGAGGAATTGAGTAACACACATGTTGGCTGTCACATTGACGACACCTGTGTCAATAATCTAAGCTACGCAGACGACATGGTCTTGCTCAGTCCTTCCATAGCCGGCTTAAGAAAACTGATAGCTACCTGTGAGACTTACGCGAAGGTGCATGGCTTAGCATACAACTCAAAAAAGAGTGAAATACTTGTGTTTAAGTGTCAAAAATTAAAACCACGCCATGTCCCGCTCGTGAGTCTAAATGGTGTATCGCTGAGCGTTGTCGAGAAATTTAAGTATCTTGGTCACATCATTACTAGCGATCTACGGGATGATGATGACATTGAGAGGGAACGCAGGGCGTTGGCGGTTAGGAGCAATATGGTCGTCCGCAGATTTGCTCGGTGTACGAAGGACGTCAAAATAACACTATTTAAAGCGTTCTGTCAGTCCTTTTATACCTGTAGTTTGTGGGTGGCATATTCGCGCCGGGCCTACAACGCCTTGCGTGTGCAATATAATAATGCCTTTAGAATGCTGTTGGGGCTGTCGTGGCGTTGTAGTGCTTCAAAGATGTTCGCAGAGGCACACACAGATGGGTTTCATGCCATTATGCGCAAGAAAGCTATTTCTTTGATGCAGCGTCTACGCGATAGCAACAACAGTATTTTAAAGTGTATTTCGGCCAGAATGGACTGCCCCTTTCAGAAACACTGGATGGAGTTGGCCATTGGGCTAAGATGAATAAAGAATAAATAAGTAATATTTTATGCAAAAAATACTAACAATACTAACATAGTATTAAGTATAATTGTTACTAACCAATTAACAATATATGGATGTACTTACGTCTGAAATAAAGATTATTATTATATTATAAATCACAACTGTTTTTTTTTTCGTAGATTTAGGCGAATATCAAAAGAAAACTTTTCTTGAACTATTAATTTCTTCATCTGGTGGTAAGAAAGGCTACAATAATATGGAACTGCGAGAAGAAATTCTTACTTTGACCATGGCAAGCACGGATACATCTGCAGTAGCCACTGGTTACACTTTGATGTTGTTAGCCAAATATCCAGAAATACAAGATAAAGTCTATGAAGAGTAAGTATTCGGTCAATGCGAGTTAATATTTGATTGTATTTATTACTTATGAAAGTTCCTTATTTTTAACCGACTTCCTCAAAAAGGAGGAGCGGGAAACGGCTGTATGTTTTTTTTTATGTTTGTTACCTCAGAACTCCGTCCTTTAATAAACGATTAGGACTATTTTTGTTTTGTTTGAAAGTGTATACTTCCAGATTGGTCCCATTTAAATTTCAAAAAAAAAATGAATTTAACCTACTTCTAATTGTCATATTGACTTGAAACTTTGCAAGTGTGTTTGATCTGGTGGTAAGACCAAAAGGCGGATAGGCGGAACTCTTCAATGGCTAATAGTAGATACTTTGAGTTTGGGCTTATTTTGTTTGATTTGACAAGCCTAACGTTAGAATCGGTTTTAGAGCCAGAACTTTTAGTGTTACTGATAAAAGCGAATTTTTAAGTCTTCGTATAAAAATTGGCATCAAAGTAACTTAAACGGTTTAAGCGAATATTTTATTAAAATACTTTCGCTTTTTTTATTTTCACTAAAAAGGGAGAAATAAAAACTTTTTAACAAAAAAAACCGACTTCAAACAAAAGCACTTAAAAGTAAAAAATAACTGATTGGTAGTTTTCATTTACTATACATACCTAATCAAATATTTTCAAAGTCGGTGCCAGTCGATATAAAGCAAAGTACACCTTATTTTTTTGTTAAAAAGTTTTTTTATTTAAAAGTGAAAATAAATGTTACGGATTAAACTTTACACTGGTATTTCATTTCGTTCGTCCGTTCGTCTCGTTGTTTTCAGCTTACACAATATGTATGTTTGCATATTGAATATTCAGACAGACAGTAATATGATCTGTACTGTACTCGGTTCGTGTCATTTCATATTGTACTATTGTATTCAGCCCTTTATAACGACTCCACGCCACTACTGAGCACGGGGCTCCCTTCAGTACGAGGGGAATCAGGCCATAGTCCACCACGCTGGCCAAGTGCGGGTTGGCGGATTTCACATGTATTTTTGAAAACTTGCTAGGTTCTCTCAGATATGCAGGTTTCCCACGATATTTTCCTTCACCGTTAAAGCAAGTGGTAATCACGTTGAAAATGCTTCGCAAATAAGAATATTAGAGGTGCGAGACCCGGGATTTCCTTTTTCCCAAGCGAGCATGTTGTCACTGGGCTACCACTGCCTTATACTATTGCAAAAGTATAATATGTTGGAATATCAAGAGTAAGAACTTGCTGTTTATGCTTTTAAAATGAAAATTTGTGAAAACGTGCTACGTGAAAACTAAATTGTATAGTACTATGTAGGCTTAGACAGGATTAACTATATCTATTTTTACTACGAATAGCAATAAAAAATTATCCTTTAAAGTCGGTTTGAATATAGTTAATAAAATAGTATTATATTTTTTAACATTTAATATTATTTTGAATAAAAAAACATTTCAGGTTATACGAAATATTTGGAGACTCTAACCGACCTGTCACTAAACAAGATTTGTTAGACATGAAATATTTAGAGAGGGTAGTCAAAGAATCGTTAAGGCTATTCCCTCCTGCGCCATTCATCGTTCGCAAAGTGGAGACAGAAGTAAAATTGCGTAAGTAATTATTGTAATAATTAATTGACGACACTTCCAATTTATCACATTAGACTCTAGACGAGCTAGATTAATATCATAAATCAAATATAATAAATAATCAAAAAATGTTCTACGACCCGAAGTAAAACTTTTCTTAACCCATCTATCTACTCATTACATAACCTCACCAGACTGAATAGACAAATTTTAACAGCGTGAAATTATGTAATAATTTAACAAAAGATAATACAGGTGTGCGATGAAAATTTTTTTGTAATAATTTCAAATACAACATATACATTTTACATCTTGACATTATAAACTTTGTTGTAACATATCACATCACATTTTTTTTTCATATATATATATATATATATATATATATATATATCATATAGGTATCGAAGCAGAAAACAAGAATTTGTAGATTAATTTTCATTAGTTGTATACCCATATAAGTTTTAAACTACTTGTTGATCAGCATGTAATAAAAATTTAGAATGAGTCGTAATGAGTCGCGCATATTGATTGCTTGCAAAAAAAATTGGGGGCAACAACAAGGAACCTGAACCGTCAGGATAGAATCCTTCACTCCAACAAGACATAAAAGAGATAGAAAAAAGGTATCAAGGTCGTTGCGTCGTCACTATGGTATATGGCAGACTACATATTTGGATGCTTTTAAATTATACGCTAAATAAAACTTTAAAGAATAATTAAAATTATATTGTAAAAATTTTTTTCTGTTTCACTTATTTGTATTTAATGTTCAAACACAACATCATCTATATCTGGTAAATTTGACGTGATTTATATACAAAAACTGTTTTATATTACTTTAAGCACAATAATTATACTCGTAACAAATATTAACAGTTTTAAGAAAATTAAAGAAAAGAAAATCATTTCACAGACCTGTGTTATTACTAATTAATTATACAAATAGTAAACACACTTATTTTACAACTAAAGGCTCACCCTTGCTTCGCTTGGGTTCACCTCTAGAAAAGCATATACAGATCTATCCCACGGGAACCGTTCATTTTTCCGGGATAAAAAGTAACCTGTTGTTTGACCGGCAATATAAGGTATTAGCATGCCAAATTGTACTAAATTAGACGCGTAATTTATTGTGTACTAAGCTGTATAAGTTACTATAGTTTTTTAACTATCCCACAGGAACTCTTTAATTTTCCGCAATAAAAAGTATCTAAAATGCTGACCAGGGGTATAAAGTACAACCATGCAAAATTTTATTTAAATCGATCCAACACTTTTGGAGACTAGCCCGTACAAACAGACAAATAGACAAACAGACCGAGAAACAAAAAAATATAAAAAAATCTGGATTTGTTCTATTTCTCTCCTAACACCCCCCTGATTTTCCCCCCTGACTGGTTTTTAGCATTTTTTTTCTATCTCTACAGACATTCGACTTCTATAGTTTTATTATATGTATAGATATGCAGATTACTTAATAATAATAATTCATTATTTAGTCAGTCTGAACTATTATTAAACAATAATAAATGGTACTTGATAAAAAAAATTCTACAGCATCTGGCCGTGTATTGCCAGCGGGTTCAGGTGCGGTCGTTTGCATCTGGGGTTGCCATCGCGACCCAAAATATTGGGGTCCAGATGCAGAACATTTTAATCCTGATCGCTTTTTACCGGCACGTTTTAACTTGAGACATGCCTGCAGTTACATGCCATTTAGTAATGGACCTAGGAGCTGTGTAGGTGAGCAAAACTCTAAACACAAATTTTATTATTTCACTAATCTTTACAAATACTTATTAAACACGGTGATATAATCAATGTTGCTATAGACAAAACAAAACTTCAGTTATCTAAAAATGTACGGAGGTAGATGTATTTTAAAAAGAAATACACTCATTTTATATGAAAATGTTTAATGATTTATTAGTTTAATAATTTTGGGTATACTAAAAATAACTATTGCTATTTCTAGGATATCAATATGCTCTTATGTCGATCAAGACATCACTAGCGTGGATTCTTCGGAACAATAAAGTGGTTGGAGAACCAGAAGATGGACCAATTCCTCATATCAAAGTGAAGTTGAACATCACGATGAAAGATGTTACCGGTTATCAAGTAGCTTTAGAAAAAAGACAACCTAAATTTAATATTCAATCAAAATAATTCTACAATAGAATATCTTATAGAAATCTGGGTTTTATAGAAACCTATCGGTTTTAGTAATTTTTAAACAGTTGTAAAGAATATTTTTTTTTAATAAAATTTGATAATATATAACGGATATATGTGAATGAACACCTAACACCGGAAAACAAGTAGCTATTTAAGAGAGCTAAAGTTATAGCTAAACAAAATGTTTTTAATTTCGTATGGGTTAGAAGCTGCAATATTTTTTTAAGGAAAAACGAGGAGTCGCCAGTTATATACATCAATTGCGACAAAGATTTAAGCAAAATTAGTTAGAACTTCACAGACAATTGATTCTCATAGTATTTTTTATAAAACTTATTTTTTTCTTTTTTGTTAAATTAGAATTCTATAAAAGCTATTCAAGAGGTGTACCACACAAAACCCTTCACACCCACACAACTAAAATTCATTCAAAATCAATCACGCATCAACCTACCACTCACACACAAAACATTTTGCTCTCTCATTTTCTGCCCATGGAATTGCACAAAAATTTTGGCATCCTCTACCTCATATTACAATAATTGTTTGTTATATTTTCTTTCTCAAATACTCATTATAAATGGCGACTAAATCTATTGAAATGCTTTACCAAAATACACGAGGATTACGAACCAAAACACAACAATTTAAACAAAACATACTAAATAATGAATTTGATTTAATATTAATTACAGAATGTTTGTAATGAATGCTATGTCAGAGTATTTATAATGGTGAAATATGCGATGATAGATATGACATCTTTTGATGTGATCGACACAAAGGTACATCCCTGAAGGAAACGGGCGGACGAGTTATGCTATGTGCATTGAAAAAAATTCAAGCACAACATAAACAGGATTGGATGTGTAATGGCGTAGAATCATTATGGATAACTTTACCCCTTAATAAAGTGAATAGCTACGAAAATGAAAATAATAATATTCATATCGGTTTGTTCTACGCCCCAGCAGACAAGGTGTTACCCAGTAGATTGGAAACAATAACTGCTTGCATTGCCCAGGTAATATTGATCCATCCTCACGATCACTTTTTTATAGCAGGTGATTTCAATCTATCTAATACCAGGTGGACTGAAAATGGACCTATGCATACAAGCTACAGTTCTGCTTCCTTATTAAATGCGGCCACGGACTTTCTAGATATGTGCAATTTAAATGGACTCACGCAATATAATAATATACTGAATTCAAACAATAAAATTCTCGACCTTATCCTTGCGAATACACATATTAATGTATCTCATTCCGATACTCCCCTCGTGATGGAAGATACACATCATCCATGTCTAGAAATAAGCTTAACAAATCTACGTACAAAATAAAACGTACGTAAAAAATATACGTACATTTCGCTACAAACCCATTAGCAAACCAAAATTTTATAAAGGTGATTATAAAAAAAATAATGATCATTTGCTAAATATTAATTGGAACCTAGCCTTATAAGCGCTGACAATGGATGACGTGATGGATACTTTTTACACTATTTTATATAATTTAATATCTGAATACATACCTAATAAAAATATTAACTCTTATAAATTTCCAGTGTGGTATATAAAAGCGTTAATTCATATAATCAGGGATAAAAAAAGAACCCATAAACGTTGGAAAACCTATAATAACCCTCGAGATTACGATGAATTTGGATGTGGATCAAAATTTTTAATAAAAAATTATCGACCTATTTCTATATTAAATGTCATGAGCAAAATATTTGAAAAAATAATATGTGATAAAATTAATTTTAATATTAAAAAATGCATTCCTATCGAAAAACATGGATTTATGCAAAGACGCTCTACAGTGACGAATTTAGGAATTTTCACTGATTACGTCCTTAAAGTCATGGATGAAAAAAATCAAGTTGACGTAATCTACACTGATTTCAAGAAAGCTTTCGATCGAGTTGATCATGTAATTTTATTGCGTAAGCTTGACCTTCTGGGTATACATGGAAATCTGTTAAGATGGTTTTCATCATATGTTAAAAATAGAATGCAGGCAGTTAAAATGGGAAGTGCTAGGAGCTACTTCTTAAATATATCATCGGGAGTACCTCAAGGCTCGATCTTGGGTCGGTTGAAAAGTTATTATTATATAATTTAAATAATCAGCTAAATATAAATTAATTAACAGCTGTGTATTAGTAAATAAATTATTAAAATTAATTCAGTAGTTTGAGAGTTTATTGCCCAAAATAAAAACTTTTTAACAAAAAAATAAAAACCAGTGCCAGCCCATATAAAGCAAAGCAGTCCGACTTCGAAAATATTTGATTAGGTATGTATAGTAAATGGAAACTACCAATCAGTTTTTTGTTAAAAAAATTTTTTAATGTTAATTTGTCGCGAAACAGGGATGGGTTAGCGTTAGTTAGTAATATTTTGCGAAACGATTTTCAAAAGAAGATGTTGGGGAAAGTGAGAGTTCCAGAAGTACATAATTAAGGTAAATAAGTAAATAATTCTAAGTAAATGCTTTTTATTATTTCTGCTTGGCTAATATGATTAAAGTAGAAAGCATTTTAGCGTCCTTTAAGCCTCCACCTTTCAAGAAATGGTGTCCAAAAAATATTGAAAAAGTTCCTCATAACAGTTTATCGAAAATTATTTTGTAGAATATACGTTTGGTAGTTTTTGCGATATGAACTAATTTTAGTTACCCGCTTTGTCAGTTTCACAACCATAAACCTTTTTCCTATAAAATGTTAAAAATTATATGAAACGAACTTATTTTAACGGTTGATAAAATGAGTATATGTATTGTGGAAACGTTAATATTTTATTCGTATTTATTTAAGTGTTAACTTAGTGAAATACGTAAGTAAGAAAAATAACGCAGTATTTTGCTAAAAGGAACCTATAATGCGCGATTTGGACTTGCATTTGCTCAATTTTTATATTAAAATATTTACAAACAATAACATTATTTACTAAACAATAAAAATCTATACTTATATTATAAAGAGGTATAGTTTGAGAGTTTGTGATGTTGTAGGGGGTAATCTCTAGATCTTCTAAACCGATTTAGATTAAATTTGGTAAGAAGATAGTTTGAGACCCTGGAAAGGACATAGGATACTTTTTATCCCGGAAATTATGTTTCATTTTTCATTTGTAAAAGTATATAGTAATAGTGTTGCTCAGTAATTTGTCTTTTTAAATAATAGCAAACTAAATTAAAATTATCATCCTTAATTAATTTTAACTTTTTAAATTACACTTAGAACAATTACATATATGGCTTAATAGTTAGTACTATATTTTATATTATTTTTCTTTATGGTTATAAATATAATAATGGCAACATTAAATATGGTTTTCAAATTATGTTTTTAAAATTGTTAAAAATTATAATATTAACAGCAAAAATTAAATAAATAATATTCCATATTAAATAAAACTATCTTTTGGACTTTTTTTTATTTAAAATGTCAAATATTCGCGTAAATCTAAGAAAGTATAATCTAGGTCTGATTATGGATAGACATTTGTCTTGGTCGGCGCACGTCAATGAGTTCAGTAGAGGTTTGCATTACTGGCTTCACTCACTAAAACGATTACAAAATTTACTTCCTCTTAAAACTAAAATTTCCTTAGCCCAATTCTAACTACTTCCTCTTTTAGACCATGCTGACGTTTGCTATTTAGATGCTACAGAGGAGCTACTCAATAAATTAGATCGATTTCAGAATTTATGCATTCGCTTCATTTACGGTTCGCATAAATTGGAACATGTAAGTGACTTTCGTGTTCAACTGAAGTAGTTTCCTATTCGCCTTCGCCGGAATATGTCTATACATACAGCGTTATAAAGGCTGGATTTTTGAGACGGGACAGTAAGGGCAAGTATCTTAACTGCTATAGTTACAGGAAAACGTTCCTAGGAGACCATCACTAACTTTTTGAGATATTCTGAACTGCATTCACAGATTTTGAAAAAAATGTACAGTTAGCGAAAAAAATGCTAAAATATAGAAAAAAAAATTATGTCAATCGATCCTATTGCATGTAGGAATCAAAAGACTCTATAGGACCATTTAAGGTATGAGTACTAGAAATGACAGAAATTGCAAAAACTTTTCCCGTACATTTTGTACGGAAAAACGATTAATCAACTTGAAATATTCTTTGTTGTCAAACGGTCCTATTTCTTACTGTGATCAAAATACTCTTTGAGGCCAACTGAAGTTTGAGTACAGATACTATAGTAAGTCACAAAACCGGGTTAACACGCAGGCATTTTATGCAGCAGGCATAGAATAATTTTCTTAGTTTTTGTTAAGCCGGTCCCGTGGCATAAAACTAAAAACTGTAATGTTCGTATGTATGTTTGTTAAACTGCGTCGGTGGTGTAATGGTTAGCATGTACGGCTGCACACCGTCGGAGATCCTGGGTTCGAGTCCCGGGTCGGGCCAAGTTTAGTTATTGAGTCTTCCTGTATAGTAAGTCTCAGTAACAGCCCGGAGTTGGGAAGTTGGCGGTGTCTCACCCCCGTGCCTCGGAGAGCACGTAAAGCCGTCGGTCCTGCGCCTTAACTCTCACCGGTCGTGTCGAGTGGTCGTCCCACCGGAGTATGAGAGTGATAGGAATAGAGAGTGTACGAAAATGTTATGTATGTCCGTAAAAATATACTCGAATTTACCAAGAAGTGTGACATGCATAACATTAATACTAGGAGCAAACACAAACTTGTAATGTCTGTGATTCGTCTACACAGAGTCAGTAATTCTTTTTATGGATTACAACAGATTCACAGAAAATCTTCAAAAAGCTTCTACCACCAAATTCGAAAAAATGATAAAGAACATTTGTGTGCTAAAGCCTAATACAATTAATTACGTTTTAACGTTAGTTGGACTAGATATATATATGTACAGTGTACATACATAGGTATAGAAAAGTAGGTAAGTATTATAAAAAATAAATAAATATATATCTCTTACTTGAGAAATGATTGATAATTTTCCATTCAATCTCCCACTCTCGTTTTCACCTTCTTATACATGACATGTTTTCTGGGATGAAAACTATCCTGTGTCATTCCCAGGATCTCAACATATTTCAATACCAAATTTCATCTAAATCGGTTCAGCGGATTAAGCGTGAAAAAGTGACGGACAGACAGACAGACAAACGGAGTTACTTTCGCATTTAATATTAGCATACATATACAAAGCTGGCATTATACTGGTGCCGGTCTATCATAATCGGCTTAGGCCGAACATTGAAAAGTCTGTAAGTGAGACGCGACATTGCCTATAATATAATAATATGTAATAAAAATAGTTATAGCGAGTGTACTTTTAAGATGGACATATACTATTGTGAACTTTTCTGTAGACCTATTTAAGACCTACAATTTTCAAGAAAAATTTACCAGTTTGTCCCTTATGTCCTATGTTATAGGATCTTCTTCTTCTTCTTCTTCTTCTCCCTGCCCATTTCCCAATAACTTGGGGTCGTCGCCGTACATCTTCTGTACTGCTGATATGATCTGATATACTGAAAAACATTGACTTTGAAATACTCCAAATATAGCAATAACACTCGTATCCGAAGATATAGTTCTATTTATACATATATATGAATATGAATCCGATTTTTTCGTGATTAAAAATAATTTCAGAAATACAAATAACTTTACTCTAACTACTTTTTTATGTTTGAAATTATTTTATAATTTTGTGGGTAGGTACTGTCTATATAATGACTGTTCGTCTCATTTTGTTTGCAACGAACTTTTGTATTTTGAAGAGATTGTAAATGAAAGAGGTCGTCCTTTGGATTACTGTATTTGAGTTTCCACAAAATACTGAGTATGACGACAATGGTTATAAGAGTACATATAACAATAGGAGTAAGAATATGAATAAGGGGTTTTAATATAAAATCACTGCCTTATATAGCTAACGTTCTGTCACTTCACTATATTGTCTATTGAACGCACAGATTATCCAAATCACTTCACATCGATGACCGTCTAATTAGGCAAGGACCACACGATGTGGGCGATGGTAAAGTTGCCACGCAATAAAGTGTCAGACGTGTCTTAACATACTCCCCCCGTTGAAGAATCTAATTCTTCAACTGTGTGTCTTCATCGTTGAGCAAGGGGCAGAGGCGAACCAGAGGGCGACGATAACAACCCGTAGTGGTCCGAACATCCGCAACGCGAGAAATCCCGTCTGGCCCCGGGTACAGCTTGGCCACTCGTCCAGTACTCCAACATAGCGGTGGCAGAGAGTCTTCGCTTAGAAGCACCAAATCTCCAACCTTAAGTTTAGCCTTATTTGTTTTCCATTTGGTTCGTATTTGTAGTTCGCAGATGTACTCCTTTTGCCACCTCAGCCAGAAATGTTGTTTAATTTGCTCGAGGCGTGCGTAGCGTTTTAATTGTGGTTCCTTTTCATTCTCCAAGGTGCGAGCTGGCAGCGCATTCAGTGGTCTTCCAATTAAGAAGTGCCCTGGGGAGAGGAAAAGGAAATCGTCAGGGGATGTGGATAATGGACACAAAGGACGACTATTCAAAATAGCTTCCACTTGTGCAAACAAAGTTAAAATTTCTTCGAAAGTTAAATGAGAGTTCCCCATGACCCGTCTAATGTGATATTTTGCCGATTTTACACCGGCCTCCCATATGCCGCCGAAGTGAGGAGCGTAAGACGGAGTGAAGTTAAATTTAATGTTTTGTTGAGCTGTAAACTCAGTCAACGCGATGTTTTGTATAGCGGTGAATTTACTAAGTTCCCTTGCCGCTCCTACAAAATTGCGTCCGTTATCGGAATAGATCTCCGTTGGCCTACCGCGGCGCGAAACAAACCTATGCAAAGTCATAATGAAGGCATCTTTAGAGAGGTCACTAACGGCCTCTAAGTGTAAACATTTAAAACGAAGGCAGATAAATAAACATAGATAGCATTTCATTAATCTGGCCCCGCGGCCTTTACGATTTACAATATAGAATGGTCCGGCCATATCAGTTCCAACGGACTTAAAAGGAAAGTCAGGAGTAATGCGTTGTGAAGGCAATTTACCCATTTTTGGCAATAATGTATTACCCTGTACTCGTCGACAACGCACACAATTACGAACGGTAGAACGTGCTAATAGTCTACCCCTAATTGGCCAAACTGTTTGTCTAATTGTAGCTAGCAGCAGTTGAGGACCGGCATGCATATTACGAATATGTTCATATCTAAACAATAATTTACACAAATGATGTGAGGAATGTAAAAGTATTGGATGAATTTTATCATAGGAAAAATTAGAAGTATCTAGACGTCCGCCAACTCGCAATAAATTATCCTCGTCAATATAAGGTGATAAATTTAAAATTTTAGATTTAGAACTTAATTGCTTATTATTATGTAAATTTTTGTATTCTACAGAAAAACTTTGTTGCTGAGCTATTAAACATAATGATTTAAAAGATTTATTTAGTTCATCGACAGTTAGTATACCAGAGAGCCTATTCTTGAAATTTGTTAAATTGTTTATAAACCGAAGGACATATGCCATTGTTCTTTGTAATCTGTTGAAGTTAGAAAATCGTTCAAAATCAATTAATTCAATAGGTTTTGTGATCATTACCGTGGCTGTGAATTTCACATCAGGTAAATCAACGTTGTCACAAGACTTTAAAGCAGGCCACTCATTCTGATCTTTAGTCAGGAATGTTGGTCCGTGCCACCACAAATCTGAATTTTGCAACTGAATTAAAGTAGTAGCTCGTGAAATTAAATCAGCAGGATTATGATCGGTAGGTACATAGCGCCAAGCAGATAGTTTGGTATTTTCCTGAATTTCCCCTACTCTATTAGCCACAAAGGTTTTTAGTCTAGTTGAGTCACTACTGAGCCATCCCAGGACAACACTAGAATCAGACCAATAAGTGACAGAATTAGGAGTGAATCTAATAGAATTTATAACAGCCTTGCCTAAACGACTTGAAAGTAAGGCGGCGCATAGTTCTAATCGAGGAATTGAAACAGGCTTTAAGGGGGCTACCTTTGATTTTGAGCACAGGAGCTTTACTTCAATGTGATTATTTGAAGAGGTAACCCTAGCATAGATACAAGCACCATAACCAACCAAAGAAGCATCACTAAAACAATGAATATCAATAATTTGTGGTGACTCACTAAGGACGAATCTAGGAATTTGAAAATTAGAAATTAATAACAAGTCCTTAGAAAAATCCCTCCAAGCGTTTTCAATGTCTATCGGTACTGGTTGATCCCAATCGGATTTAAGCTTCCATAATTTTTGTAACATAAGTTTTGGCTGCATGATGTATGGGCTTAACAAACCGAGTGGGTCAAAAATCTTGAATGCATCAGACATGATGCTTCTTTTTGTAATAGTATTTCTCAAAGGAGGAATATTAACTGGAAAATTTAACATGTCATTATTTTGATTCCAACCTAAGCCTAGAGTACTCGAAGCCTCACTTAACATAAAATTTTCTTGCAAATTTAAATTACAATTATCAAAAATAGAACATAGATTACTTTTGTATTTACGTAATTTAAAACAGCCTTTGTCTAATTCTTGTGCAACTGAATTTTGAATATAATTTAGTTCCTCGCTATCATTTGAACCTGTTATGAGGTCATCGACATAAAAATCCTTTTGTATAATATTTTTAATAAAACTATTGTCGCATTCCTCTCCTATCTGCCATAGACACCGTGTACTTAAATAGCTGGCACTTGCTGTTCCGTAAGTGACAGTGTTCAACTGCATTGTTTTAATGGGTAAAGATTCATCTTCTCTCCACAAAATCAGCTGTAAATTTCTGTCATCTGGACTGACCTCTATTTGGCGATACATTTTTTCTATATCCCCGGTTAACAAATATTTATATGTTCTAGCTCGGATTAATATGGAGAAAAGAGAATCCTGGATGTTAGGTCCAACCATTAGCAAATCATTGATTGAAAAGCCAGAAGAAGAGGACGCGGAACCATCAAATACGACCCTAAGTTTAGTCGATTCGCTGGATGCCTTAAAGACAGCATGATGACATAGAAAATAAGAAGGATCTGGTAAAGCAACCGTAGATTCCGACAGATGGCCCAAGCCTTGGTATTCTCTAATGAATTGAATATATTGAGACTTTAATGAGGTAGTTTTTCTGAAACGTTTTTCTAAATTTAATAGTCGCCTTTTTGCCAAGTTATATGTTTCACCTAAACAATCAGGAGAATCGCGTAATGGAAGCTTGACACTAAACCTGCCGGAAGGAAGCCGTAAAGTGTGAGACCGGAAGTGGTTCTCACAGGCTAATTCTGTTTCGCTTAGAATTGTTTTCTGGGGAAGCTCTTCTAGATCCCAAAATTTTGATAGTAAATTGTCGATTTTGTTTTCGTTTGGGAAGTTGTCATTAATGACTGAATTATTGCAAAGTACTTGTTTAGCTTGATAAGAAATAGGACCACCAATTAACCAACCAAAACTGGAATATTGTAGTATAGGCTTGTTTGCACCTAAAGAAATACGGTCGTTTTTCATGAGTTGCCAGAAGAGATCGGCTCCTATTAGTATATCAATAGGAGCTGGCTGATTGAAATCGGGGTCAGCTAAATGCAAGTGCGATGGTATGTTTAATTGTTGTATATTTATAGGTGCCTTAGGCAGATTCCCAGTCAGCCTATGAAGCACAAGACAATTTAACTTTGTCTTAAAATTATTGTAAATGGATTTTAATTGGATCACACAGCTTTCCTTGATTTGGTTGTCTGAGTGACCGATACCAATGACGTTAACAGAAATTGGATTTGAATTGATTGCAAGTTTTTGTTGAAGAGATTTTGTAATGAAAGATGACTGACTGCCCGAGTCCAACAAGGCCCGTACTTTAAGAGGCTCATTAGTCGTTGGATTCAAAATGTATACTTGGGCAGTAGACAAAATAACTTGATTTGAATTTTTGTTTGAATAATTTGCTGAAGTCTCAGAGACATCACCAGAGGCATTGTTGACCTGTGGTGTATCAGCTGGATGCAATAAAGTATTGTGTTGTTTCTTACATATCTTGCATGGCCCTAATCGACATTCGACTAAAGAGTGACCCTGCCTTAGACAATTAATACATAATTTGTGCTTTGAAATATCGTTTAATTTGTCCTTTCTGGACTTGGATTTGAATAATTGGCAATCATAAATCCTATGATTTTGATTGCAGACAATACACCTACGCGAACTGCTATTGTCGCTTGGATTTGTAGTAATAAATGACTTTGAAATAGGTCGATCACGCTGATTATAATGATGATAACTGACAGGCTTTGAATTTTGAATTCTATTATTGTTATTATGAAAACTAGAACCTTGATCATTCTTATTGTGACGTGTACATTCAAGAACATAAGCCCGATCAATTAAAAATTTATTAAATTCGGTTAAACTAGGAATTTCACCTAAGCTATTGCGTTGCTCTTCCCATTTAACAAGTGTTTGCGTATCGAGTTTGGATGAAACCAAATATATAATTAACGTGTCCCAGTGATCAGTAGGTTGACCTAGGTTAGCTAAAGCACGTAAATTTTTTGAAACATGATCGACTAAAGAGCGTAATGAAGTATCCGATTCGCGGTTTATTTTCTCAATATTGAATAATGATTTAATGTGATAATTTACAAGTAACCTTTTATTATTGTAACGTTCATAAAGTAATTGATAAGCGCTGTTATAGTTGGCTGCGGAAACCTCAATGTTTGAAATTACCCGAGCTGCATCGCCTTCCAAAAAAGAAACTAAATAATGAAACTTTTGAATTAATGAAATGCGGCTATTGTTGTGAATTAAATTATTGAAAGTATCTCGAAACTCTAACCAACGGAAGAATGAACCATCAAACTTTGCAATTTGTATTTGCGGCAAGGTTATAGAATTTTCATTATTATGATCGCGACCACAATGAGCATCTTGGAATAAGGACTCACGGCGTCTCTTATCCTGTTCTAAATTCTTTAATTCATTTTGTTCTTCAATAATATTTTTTGCCATCGCGGTACATAATATGATATCTTGCTCAATGCGTTCACGTTCATCGAGCTCTTCGTCTAAAGTATCAGCATTTATTAATTCAATTTGAGTTTGCAGCTCATCATATTTAGCGGACAGACTCTCAAAGCGACTGACCTTCAGTGAAAGCTCAGCCACTTCGATACCCGTCAATTGAGATTGCCTTGTAATCTTGTCTAAATAATTTTTGAATTTAGTAATTTGTCCCTTTATGGAACTGCGCTTTACTATTAAAACCTTTATCCCGGACTCTTTGTACATAGTTGATACTGAAGGTTCGGACATTGTGAAAAATATGGATAAAAAATACTTTATGTAATTATAGTAATGCAATAATAGTAAGTAAAATTATAAAATAGAAAACTGTATGAACTAGAACAATACTAAAGTTACTTGTATATGTATATGAATATGAATTATGTAAACTACAATTGAATTTAAGTTACTTAATTACAAGACACCTCAAAAGGAAAATAAAATAAAATAATGTAAATGTCTTATCTGACGCTCCTCAATCAACGACACATAGCAGACCGGCGCGGCGCGGCAGGACAAGATGGCGAAGCCCCGACCACGTGGCGCGCCTCATGTACCGCAACGCTGAAATAGTCGGCAAATCGTCTAAGTATCGCAAACATATAATTTTGATTGAGGCTTATTATTGCCTTTAGAATTGAATTATGTTTTCAACTAAATGTATTTTAATGTCAAAAATTGATGCTGTTGACTCTAAATCTACTATAATAAAATATTAAGTTTGTTTTATATATATAATATAATATAAGGAAAGTTAAATTTAGAATAATATAGGTTGTTTTGAAATGTTACTTTTAATGTATTAATAAAGGACATTTAGAGGTTAAATTGAAAAATTTATTATATATTTGTATTAAATGAAGAAATTCTAACAAGAAAGTTGAATATATGTATACATTTTTGTTTTAAATAAAAATTAAACCGAAAATAATTATAAATTTTGCAAAAGCGGAATGCTAAATTTGAAATACAAATGGAAATAGGAAGAAATGAATAGGGATTAAAGGGATTAGGATCGATTAGGATATAGGATTGGGAAACATGGTTATTAAAAAATAGGGAAAAATAATTTGGAAAAAGGTTGGGATTAATTAGGAATGGATAGATATAGGGCACTTATCTTTTCATGCTGCGAGGTGCGGCTTTCGCTGCGTCACTGCTCGGCATAAGATGACGGCCACGTGTTCTGGTGCTGGATTGCTTATTACTTGGAAGTCTTCTTGGACGTCCCTGTTCGGGCGCCATATGTTCGTCTCATTTTGTTTGCAACGAACTTTTGTATTTTTGAAGAGATTGTAAATGAAAGAGGTCGTCCTTTGGATTACTGTATTTGAGTTTCCACAAAATACTGAGTATGACGACAATGGTTATAAGAGTACATATAACAATAGGAGTAAGAATATGAATAAGGGGTTTTAATATAAAATCACTGCCTTATATAGCTAACGTTCTGTCACTTCACTATATTGTCTATTGAACGCACAGATTATCCAAATCACTTCACATCGATGACCGTCTAATTAGGCAAGGACCACACGATGTGGGCGATGGTAAAGTTGCCACGCAATAAAGTGTCAGACGTGTCTTAACAATGACTTTTGTAAAACCTCCTAACTCTCCCGTAATCATGATTGTTGTAAAGCATTCGAAATGTCAGGAATCAAAAAAAAAGAAAAAAAAAGATAGTTTTATTTAAAATGTCAAATATTCTACGTAAATCTAAGAAACGATTACTCGTATATTATGTTCTAGGAGGGCGGCGAGTTGCTCTGCGTACGCTGGTTGAGTAAAATATAGGTGTATTTTTTTTCAATCTTTGTCATCGGTACTAAACTTTTAAAATTTTAACTCTGTAGGATAAGAGGAAGTAGTTCTAATTCAACTTGTAAGATTTGACACACAAAAATTCCAACTAAGTACTAACAAACATTAAAGGTTAAAAAAAGAAAATAACAATCACTATCAGGTTCGTTATGGTTTAGCGACTTAGTTTCTTATATGTATAAGAGACTTCTCATATAGTCTTCTAAAATCTATTTATGATCTAAGTTTGATTACTTTCCCTTTCTCTACATATTCCTGGATGACTTCTTCAGGCGTTTCTATATGTAAAGAAATTATTGATATGATTTTTGTTCTGTATTAAGCGTTGATTGTTGTTAAAAGGGCCTAAGTTAAAAAAGTCATGGGATCACTAGTATTGACTTACATAAAATTCTAATCTTAGTTGCATTGAGGTAATATAGCAACTTAAGATCAGTACCCAGTGATTTGAAGACTACGTGGTATATGCCATGAGCTTTACGACCCTAAAGTTATTAAAGCGTGGGAGTTTGGCGCAAGCCGTGGCGGTGGAGGAAATCGACTAGACGTGTATATAAAACAATGCTGAGTTTTAAATCAGTGCCATACGCATAGTACACTTAAAACTGTACGCTCGCTCGTTTGCCATTTTATTCTACAACATAAAAAAATAATTTAAAAATGATTTTTTGGCTATTACTAGTGATACTTGTGCTGTGGACATGTCTGTATAGATTTCGAAGAAGAAGAATGTACAGCCTAGCGTCAGCTATACCAGGGCCGAAAAACGAGTGTCCTATCATAGGGGTTGCGCATAAGATGATGGGAGGTGAAGAGGGAAAGTATTATTTTCTTTTTTCAATTTAATTCTAATACCTTCTAATATCAACTAAATAACGTTGGTGAAAATTTTCACACCTTATTCATTAGTTAGTTATATAAGTTGGTACTTTAAAATTGAAGTGATTCAACAATTTTTCACGCGTGTCTAGTTTACACCAGTAAATTTTCCAAATACGATATACGGCATAAGTTGGTTTAATGGCTGAATACATTAATACTTAGTGCATAATAAATAACTTAGGTTGTTATGTTAGGATTGATATGTGCTAGTTGCAAGATTTCGCAGTTTTCATTAAATGTAACATACAATTCTCTCTCTCTCTCTCTCATATCATATCTTATATCACAGCCTCTATCCATTAATTCGATAACATAGTGACTGTGTACCATGACGGAACGCAGACGGTATATGCGTTTGGGGTGAGAGGTTGTTTTTTTTGTGCAAATCCATGTTGCCATTTTTCTCCAAAACTACTAGACCGATTTTGATGCAGTTTTCAGTTATGGGTTCGGGTTTGGTTTTCAATTGGTTAGATTCCCGGGTCAGGTAAGCTTTTTTTTTAAATTGAATGCAGTCGTTATTATTTTTAAAAATAAAGAAATGTTTTCTTTGAGTAAATCTTGATAAGTTCAATATTTAAGGTACTTTTTTTCCATGTCCTATCGATTTGTTCCACCCTGTAGAGCTTCTAATTTCTTTTAAATAATGTATATAATATAGCAAAGCAGTAATATAGCGATATCTGTACATTAAATATTTTTTTAAAACAATGACTGTAACGTTTTATCTACTCAATATAGACCTCAAAACAATAGTTAATACTTTTTTGCCTGTTTGTATGCATATCTGTTTGTCTGTTTGTGTGTGCGCGTTTCACGCTAAAAGTACCTAATGAACCAATTTCAACGAAATTTGTTGAAGTGGTGACTTATTACTCGGGTCAACATTTAGAATACCTGTTACTTCAGGAAAATTCTTTTGTCCCACGGGAAAACACAATAACTGCAAAAGCATTCGAAACGTCGGAAACCAAAAACTCAAAACAAATCCGCGAAATAATCCGAAAAGATAGTTTTATTTAAACATACAACATTCTGAAATAAATTTAAAATACAATTTCTTGTTTTTTTTCTGCTACAAAAGTGTTTGCTATTAAAAAATAGAACTTATTAAATTTGAACAGTCGAATTATTTACACAGTGTAAATAACTTAGGATAAATTGAAGTTTAAGATTTGACTTAGCTAGTTTTTACATACAAGTTATGTTAAGTTAAGTTATACATGAGTATAAGACTCAATAAATATCTTCTTAACTTATATATTCTTAATGCTGCATAGTCCAATCGGAATCCAGTTTGGGAACAAAATATTGAAAACCTGAAGTTTTATGATTTTAAAATGTTAAAGAAATGTCCCCGATGCCCAGCTACCCTCGAGAAAGGGAGGAACGCAAAGCGTGGAAAAATATTTTTTTTTTCAAAATCCGGCTTACTGTGGCGTTCTATCGAAAAATATTTTTATAAAACTTGTAGGTCTAGTAAAAGTCTACAACTTTTATAGATAAAACTTTTTACAATAACCTCAAAGTTTTGGAGATATTTGCAGAAAACTCGGGTTTTGAATTTTTCTTGGTTTTTTATTTTTATTTTCTAGAATCATCTTTTGATTTTTAGGAAACTAAGTTAGTGTTATTTTCGAAATACATACAATAAATAAAAAAAAATGTTTAGCCATTTCTGAGAAAAGTATGTTTTATGGTCTCGAGAGGCTGAAAATCACCCCCAACTTCAAGTGGACATATAAAAAAAAATCGTTTAATTTTCAAATAGGGTTCATTCTTTTCGTCTTGAACTTTACTTTTTTAAAAAATAAAAAAATTGTGTAGCTGTCTAGTAAAACACCCTTAAAAAATTTAAAAATTGGAGAAATCGATAATTATTACTTTTTAATTAGCAGTGACTTAATCTAGAAATGCTACTGCACTTTTAGAAAGTGGTAAAAAGATTTACGCTGCGTTTAAGTTCCTTTTTTTTTTTTTTACGTTGGGAAATGCATTTACGCACGATGTGTGGGACTCACCGGCGTAATACAGCCAGTACTACCCACTAAAACCCAACAAAACCTTCCCCCGTCTTAATGGGGCGTCGCAGGATCGCTTACGCATTCAACTACGACGCCCTGACGGCAGGTCTGCCAAAGCAGACCACCACAACCATGGGGTTGCTCCAAGGTCCACTCTGCTATCAGAGAAGTACCAGGAGCAACCCGCAAGGTACACCGCCCCCGAAGAGGGCCACCTCCCACCGCCTACCGAAGTGGGCAACCTCTCTGTGCGTTTCTTAGCTTCGCTACTACTACTGAGCCCCCCCACCACGACAAGGTGAACGCACATTGGGGGGGTGCGTTTAAGTTCCTGCTCAATCTCCACCGAGTAGAAATCCAGATAATCCAATACTTAAACAGAGTAATATAGCTCAAGTTCTCCGAAAGTGCATAGTTACTAAATGAGATATTAAATCGTGCACAAATGAGAAAACCTAGCTACTACTACCACTAGGAACAAAGGAAGTCTTGCCTTGGTTTTGTGAACGTGCAACACTGACCTCCAAAACCAAAAATGATACTTCTTTGATAGGTCAGAAATAGAATATACGTCTGTCCATTCAGTGATGTAAATGGATGAAACACTTCACTATCATGTGGAGTAACTTAACAGTGTTAACCCACTAGGCCTCTTTTCTTCTTTTCTCATAAACTCCTTCTGAAGGTTGGCATATCTGTAATGAATAAGTCATCTAAGCTATGTAACGGGACTAGACTCTAGATCATTAATAAATATTAAAAATAGCAATGGGCCAAGATGTGACCCTTGGGGAACTCCAGAAGTTACTTCGCACCCTTCTAATTTAAAACCACGAATATATACTAACTGCGAGCGGTTCTTTAAGTAAGACTCAATCCATCTTAATAAACTACCGTGGATACTCGGTATACCAAAATACCGTGAATATTCTCAATTTTCTTTAACAATAATTTATGATTCACTAAATCAAATGCTTTTTTGAAATCAGTATATATAGAATGGACTTCTTTCTTTTTATCTAAACCTTCTGCAATATCAGATACATAAGAAACTATATTAGACGCTGTAGACTTACCGGGTAAAAAGCCATGTTGGTTACAATTTATGTACCGACGTACATGATTCATTATATGTTTATTAACTATTGATTCCAATATTTTTCCACAATTTGATAATAACGAAATAAGACGATATGCACTCACATCACTCACATCTCCACCCTTATGAATAGGTGATAGATAAGCCTTTATCCATTCAGAAGGAAATATCCCAGTTTCCAGTTATAACATAAAGCCAAAGAATTTGTCTTTTATTAGTAGTTTGAACACGGGCGAAGCCTCGGATACTGCTTAGTTATTATATAAGTGTAAATATACACCGATAATAAAATGCAATTAAGATGGATAACTCCAGAAAAATATTAATAATTAATGATTTTACCGACTGCTTCTGAAGTGCTGAATATTTTCTACTACATTGTAAAACTCAGACTAAAAGATATAAAAACAATAACTAGATAGAATTTACAATTATTCCGTTATGATAATGTACATTTAAACTTAAATAAAACACATTATGTAAATATTATTTTTCTTTTTTTACTAATAAATAATAAATGATTTATGCTACTTCCAGATATCATGTACAACTTACAAGAATTTTGTTACGATTCGATACAACATGGTGGTTTGATCAAAGCGTGGCTAAATCATATACTTTACTTTTGTAAGTACTTAAATTTATTATGTTATTTACTTGCTGCACCAGCCGTCGCGGGTTCGAGTCCCGCTGGGGGTATTCATTTGTATGATGAGCACGAATGTTTGTACTCCAGTCATGGGTTTATATTTATAATATGTATGCATTTAAAGTTATATATGTATTATAATGTGTCAACTATCTGGTATCCTATCTAGATGTGGTTGTGTGTTAATGTCCTGACATATTTATTTATTCATTATTATAAATAAAACTATCTTTTCGGATTACTTCGCGGATTTATTTTGATTTTTGGTTCCCGACGTTTCGAATGCTTTACAGCAATCATGGTCACGGGAGGGACTAAGGTTACAGACGTCTCAAACAAATACTTGTTACAGACAGTACTTACCCAATATTTTACAAAAATGATCTCAAAAATTCAAAAAATGGCAATAAAGTACCTTACAATATTTGTTGATTTTTATTTCTAAACATTTTATTTTTTTCTATTTTCCTCTTTTATTCTATCTCTATTTATCTATATATCTATTCATCTATTTTTTAATTTCAAATCCAGAACCCCCAATACTATAATTGCTTTAGGTTATTTAAGATTTGGTGATAGTTTTGACTCGATTATTGTAGGCGTCGGACAGTATCAGAAGAATTGCTATATTTATTTTGTCCTAGACTTGTAAATACCCAAACTTTTTCTCTTTAATCATCATTGTTAAGTAAAAATATAAAAGAGTAACAATGGACTAATAGAAATAATATTAATCGTACAGTAACTGTATTAATAATTATAAATTATTCGTACAGTTACTGTATCCATAGGTTCAGCCTTTTAAAGTAATAAATAAAAAAAAATCTACACTATTTATTTATTTTTAGTGGTGACAAATCCTACGGACATGGAAGGGATATTAAAGACATGCTTAGAAAAAGATGATACACATAGGTTTCTTAGAAAGGTCTTTGGCAATGGCAGGTAAGGTTTTTTAAGTATAGATAATATATTTAATTAGCAGTTATATTAACTATGATTCCGGTAAATATGTTTTATTTTTTTGAAGTTCCCATATGGAAGCGACGGCGTAAAATTTTTGTACCTGTGTTTACTCCAAGCAATGTAGACCAATTTGTCGCAGTATTCACTGAGAACAGTCAGAAATTGGTGGAAAAGTTAGTTAGTCATCAAGGTACAGGAAAGTTTAGCATTTGGCCGTACCTTTCTACTTACACATTGGATTCATTAGGTGGTAAGTACACAATATATGTATATAATATTAACTATATTGGGAGCGTGAATAATATAGACCAATCCGAATCCGTTTATTTTTAAGAGAAAAAAATAATAATTGAAACCTGAAGTTTTATGGTTTTAAAATGTTAACAGTTATATATTATATATTCGTAAAATGCTCCCGATGCCCAACTACCTCCGAGAAATGGGGGGACGCAAAGCGTTAAAAAATAGTTTTTTCAATTTCTGGCTTACTTTGACGTTCTATTGAAAAATGTTGTTGTAGCTTCAAAGTTTTCAAGATATTTGCAAAAACTCGATTTTTAATTTTTTCTTGGTATTTTATTTTTAATTTCTACAATAATCTTTTGATTTTCATGAAACTAGGGAAATGTTATCTTCGGAATACATATAATAAATAAAAAAAATAAAATTGAAATATTTAGCCATTTCCGAGAAAAGTATGTTTTATGGTCTCCGGAGGTTGAAAATCACCCCCAAATTCAAGTGGACGTTTACATTTAAAAAAAATCGTTCAATTTCTTATAGGGCTCTTTCTTTTTGTCTTGAACTCTAATTTTTGAAGAAATAAAAACATTGTATCGTCGTGCTGTAATAACACCTTTAAAAATTAAAAAAAATTGGAGAAATTGATAATTTTTACTTTGTAAATTACATTTTTTTAAATTATTATTGAAAAAGTATACTTTATTGACCAAATTTTTCTAAACTGATTACACCAATGTATTTTTCGGAAAAAAATAAAAAAAATGCCGTCCTTCAGTTTTTAATTAGACGCTTATTTTTTTATAAACATTCCAACTTTGCAATTTGACGAGTCGTGAAAAAATTATAAAAATTGCAATTCATGTTATTATTTTCTCTAATTTATCGATATTGTATTAATTTTTGATTCATTTTGGAGTTAAATATATTGTCTTTTTCTGAAAAATTAAATTTTAAGGTAATTACAGAAAGAAATGAAATTCATTCATAGTCTAATCTTGTTTATTCATTAGTTAAAAATATAATTTAATAAAAATAAGTTCATATTTACAAAATTTAGTCATCGCTTTGTTAAAAAAACATAAAAAATTGTAAAAAAAAAATAAAATAAAAAAAATATATGATAGATCCTTGTAGAACATTTACTTGATTTTTTAAAATTACCCTTTAATCTACTGTGCGTCCATTAAATGCTATTTTTTTTTAATTTTTGAAATTGAAATGATATGCGATATTGATGATAAAAAAGAAAAGGATCCTTTTTCCTAAGGAAGGAAAAAATCGACGTAAAGAGGAACCTCTGCCTTCGTGGTGTAATCGCTAGCAAGTAAGGCTGCATATCCGAAGGTCCCAGGTTCGAGTCCCCCCGTGCCTCGGAGAGTACGTAAAGCCGTCAGTCCTACACCTGATCTCTCACCGCTCGTTTCGAATTATGATTCCATCGGAATTTGAGAGTGAAAGGAATACCACCAACGCACTCTGTTTTGGTGTCTACGCGCACACTTAAGCGCTATAATATCTCCTGTGCAGTTGGCTAGTCTCAATGACATTGGCCGCCCTGAGATATCGGTCGGGAGGACATTATCATCATCATACATAGTACTTACTTCTGTAGTTTGACTTCTTTTAACAAAACCACTTTAGGCTGTGGGTTGTCTATCAGTAGTGTATATGAATTTTGTTAGCATCACAGTTTTAGTAGAGTAAAGATCTATCGCCTTTCCTTTATTCATTAAATATCTGGCTAACAATGTTCGATGTTTGATCAATGTCAATTTAGGGTACCTAACTGTAATAACTGTTTACATAAAGTTAATCCACCGGTGGAATAGGTGATCAAAATTTTGTTAGATACCAAAAAAATGGTTACGTCTCAAGTCATAATAAATAATAATTGGACATTATGTGGCTAATACGTTACGTCAAAAGAAGGTACGGTAATATTAGGTGGGTAATCGTAGGTGTTATTTTTTTTAATAAAACATAACACCTACCTTTGTGAAGATAATTTATTTTTCTTTGAAATTCTTTGATAACTAAAAATGAATTTAAGTTGTCGTATTTAGTATAAACCAAATTGCGTTAAGAGAGAAGTGAGAAAATAAAATAAAGAATGCTAAAAAGAAATTCTTATTTACAGAAACTGCATTAGGTGTGAAAATAAACTCTCAAGATGATCCAAATTCTTCTTTTCTGAAGTCAATAAATACAATCCTTTACCTCGTGAATAAAAGAATTTTCCATTTGTGGTTGCAACCAGACTGGCTGTTTAAACTTTTTCCACTGTACAAGTTGCATCAAAAGTGTATAAAAGTTCTGCACAACTTTACAGACGAAGTAAGTACTTCTAAGCATAATATGGGTCAAAATCATCAAGGTGGCAAATTTGGTTCGGACACTATTTTTCCTAATAAAGCCTTGAAATAGTTGGGTCGCAATTATTTTTAAATATCAGATTTAGTTAATTCTATCTAAGCTCTTCATTGTTTTTTGCAAAATGATCTTAACACAATTTTTCTCATAAAACTAGTGAAAATGTCATTTTGGGAAAGCGTCCCAACACGCATTTCCGTATTTGAAATGTTCATAAAGCAATAAAATACTAATTTAAAAATAAAATTTATTTATATTTAGTATGGTTGGTAATTTGTAGATCACTCTATTTTGTCAAAAAGTAATACCTAATTACGTCAAGCGAAGTGCTACTATGCAGTTCCACGATGAAATCTCTCGAGTGTACACAGTGTTTGCTTGTTTTATGGCGGTTTTCAGTTAATTTTCTTGTAAGATTATTTGAGTTATGTATTTTGGTACCGTACATCAATAAAAAACCATAACGGGCACGCCTCAAAATCATTCACATAACGATAAGTGAAGATAATTAGTGTTAATTCCTTTTAATAATGCTGTTCTATTCCCGGCAGTGTTGATTATTGGCATTTAATATGGCGGAAGACTATTTAAAATAACTAGAAGCGTTAAAAAATCATTTCGGGGACAGTCATTCCGAGAACGTTGCCGAATATTACGTGCGTTCTCGTCATGACCACTACGTTCTCGCAATGGTGTTTTTTAACCCCTGACGAAATTTAATTCAAGACCAAATATATTGGATTTATTTATCAAATCAAATACCATAACATACAATTTTTTGAAAAAAAAAAAAAAAACAATTAAACGTTCAAACCTAATCCTTGATAAATAAACAGCACTTTCGTCTAAGAATTATTAAGATGAGCTTCATAAATGTTATATTTTATCAAAATACGAGAATTTCAGACAATGTAGGGTAAAGATTTAAATATATTTTATTTAATATTTATTTAAATACCGTATTTTCAAACTAAGCTTTATCAAATTTATATTTTTAACAAAAATATTTAAGTTTTGAAATCCGTTACCTGAATAATGTTATCATATATCCAGTCTATTTCGAGTCCTGGGTAAGTTATCTATACTTTTATACTTATATTATAAAGAGGTAAAGTTTGTGAGTTTGTGGGTTTGTGAGCTTGTGACGTTGTATCGATCGATCTACTAAACCGATTTAGATGAAAATTGGTAAGAAGATAGTTTGAGACCCTGGAGAGGATATACGATAATTATTATCCCGGAAATCATCCCTTAAGGGGGTGAAAATGGGGATGAAAGTTTGTATGGGGAATCAAGCCAGGGACGAACCCGAGCGAAGCGAGGATGAGTCGCTAGTTATAATTAAAATGTAAATATTTTGCACACTTTTTTTACAGCGCTATAAATATTAATAACGTATACATTGTAAGTTATTTTTTGGATTTCCATGACGTTCTTACAAATTTCACATTTCCAAATTCGTCACCTTGGTGATTTTGACCTATATCATCAGAAGAGAAAAAGAAGCAATTAAAACAATAGCCACATGTTTATATTGAACATAATGTCTTGTACTGTTTTAGGTCATCGTAAAGAAGCGTGCTGAAATAAGTCAATATAAAAAATGCCAATCTCAAGCTGACAATCATTACAGTGCGTATTGAATTTAAATGTTTTTTCCAAGCTTTTATTTAGTTTTACTTGTCTGGGGTGGTGTAATCGGATTTTGTAAGTTAAATTTAACCTATGTACTTCCTAATGTCCGATTGAGCTGAAATTCGGCACACTAGTTTGGTACCAATATGGTAAACGTTACAAAATGACGATTTATCATTATTCGATGTATCATATATTTCCTTATATATAGGCATCAAATAAGGGTTTGATGAGCGAAACACAATAAGCAAAGTGACGTCATTGTAAATCTAATATGGCGGATTCCTAAACATAGACCTACTTCCAGTGTCCGATTGAACTGACATTTGGCACAGTTTGCTTCCCAAGACAATGCATGATTACGTAAATGCCGTTTTTTAATCCAATATGGCGGACGTTACAAAATGGCGATTTATCATTTCCAAAGTGACCCTTATGATATGGGCATGAAATAAAAGAATAAGCAAAATGAAATAGAATAAGCAAAGTGAAGTCATTGTAAATCGAATATGGCGGACTCCCAAAGATGGCGAACTATGTTTTTTTATGCACCCCCATGATATGGGTATCAAATGAAAAGGTTTGCTGGGAAAAGTACGATAAATAAAAAAATGTGAACCACTCATCTTTAAAAACAATTTTTTTAAATGCTCTAAAAAGAAGAAAATAAACTTCAAGTTAAATAAAACACATCAATTTATTACATTTCACAATTTATATGACATAAAAAGTTGTATGCACATAAATGAGAGCTTTTAAGAGTATCGGTATGTAATAAGCGTTATGATTTACTCTAATGGTAAATTAAAACTATTTTTTATCGTAGATCGAGGCGAATATCAAAATAACAGTTTTCTTGACATGTTAATATCAATATCTGGAGGTGAGAACGGATACAGTAATGTGGAACTTCGAGAAGAAGTTCTTACTATGACCGTAGCAGGCACGGATACATCTGCTACTGTCATTGGTTACACTTTGATGTTGTTAGCCAAATATCCAAAAATACAAGATAAAGTCTATGAAGAGTAAGTAGCCGGTATTTTTTATTATATAAGAAAATTCCTTATTTTTTTATGAAAGTAAGTGAAAAGAAATCTTACGAATTAAATTTTACACTGGTATTTCATTTCATTCGTTTTTTCGTTTAGTCGTTTTCAGGTTACATAATATGTTTATCGAATTTTCAAAACCAGTAAAACGATCTACGTTATTTCTACTGACAGTAGATACGAACCGAGTATTAAGCATTTCATATATATACTATACATACTATTGCAAAAGAACAATATGTTGGAGACTGGAGTAATATAAAAGTCTTGCTATTTTTATTAAGTGAGTGAAAACGTGCTACGTGAAAATTACAGTGTTAACTAAATCTTTTCTTAGTAGCAAAAAAATATCCTTTAACATCAGTTTAAATATCTATACTAATATTATAAAGAGGCAGCATTTGTTGTCCGTTTGTCTGCCCGACCGTTCGTCCTGCCTGCCTACCTGTCTACCTGCCTGCTTGCTTTGCATTAGATATCCCTTTTATTGAGGCAGGGGGCGGAGCAGTAGTCATAAATGTCATCGAATCGGACAGACTTCCGTAAACTATTGTAAAGGAAAGGCAAAGATGGGTTTGTCTTTTCGTACTTTGAACGCAGGCGAAGCCGCGGGTTCTAATAGTAGTTAATAAAATAATATTATATTTAAATGTATAATCTAATATAATGTTGTTTAAAATATTTTAAGGTTATACGAAATATTTGGAGACTCTAACAGACCTGTCACTAAACAAGATTTGGTAGACATGAAATGTTTAGAGAGGGTAGTAAAAGAATCGTTAAGGCTATTCCCTCCTGTGCCATTCATCGTTCGCAAAGTGGAGACAGAAGTAAAATTGCGTAAGTAGTTACTGTAATAATTAAAATGATGACAGTACCAGTTTATCATTAGTACAACAGTTTAATCATACTAGGTCTAGACGCTAGATTAATACATTTTAAAATAAATAGTCGAAGAGTCGAAGTATGATTTTTCTTCACTTATCAGATGAAAAATATTAAAATTATATATTTGAGGACTTCTCCGGATCTTAGACTTAGTTAACAAGACTGTAAAGACAAATTTTAACGGCGTGATGTAATTTTGATAATTATTTAAATAGAAATTTACAAAAATATGCAGATTTAATAGTAATAATTCATAATTTAGTCAGACTAAATTATTAATAAACAATAATCAATGGAAACAAAATCTTTTCTACAGCATCTGGTCGTATATTGCCAGCGGGGACAGGTGCGGTGCTGGGCATCTGGGGTTGCCATCGCGACCCAAAATATTGGGGTCCTGATGCCGAGCATTTTGATCCTGATCGCTTTTTACCGGAACGATTTAACTTGGAACATGCCTGCAGTTACATGCCATTTAGTAATGGACCTAGGAACTGTGTAGGTGAGCAAAACTCTAATGGACTAAGACAATAACAACGGTTACCATGGCAACAAACAGTTAACTAACGCGCTCTCTTTCAATTTAAACTATCTTTGCCATGGTAATAGTTGTTATTGTCTGACAAATGATATAAAATATTATATTCTTTCCTTCTTTTTTTTCCATTGCGGCCACTTTTACATAGGTGAGAGGTATTTTATCATATACAGAAAAAAATAGCTTTAATTTGATTTATAAATGATGAATATACGCCATGAACGTATAAATGTAACAAAAACATTTTTAATGACTCGCAACCATTTTTGCGACCACTTTTACATAGGCAGACGTAGTTATTATTGTATATAAAAAATTGGTTTCGTTCGTTAAATACGCTATGAACGTAGCAATCTTGCAGCGGGATCTCGATCCATAAACACAAAATACTCTAAACACAAGTTTTATTATGTTTACAAATACTTTTAATTAATCAAAGTAATATAATTAATGTTGCTATAGACAAAACAAAACTTCTGCTATTTATAAAATATAGCGAATTAGATATATTTTAAAAAGAAACACACGCATTTCACAGCAGAGTCCAACTTGTGTCTAAAGTTAGCACCAAAGTTCCAGAACACTCCTCTTAATGAGCTATGAGTCTATAGCCACTTACCATCAGATGAATCGTTTGCTCGTTTGTTCCTTTTTTCTATAATACTTTCTATTAATTATTGTGAGTAAAATATAAATAACTATTGCTATTTCTAGGATATCAATTTGCTCTTATGTCGATCAAAACATCGCTAGCGTGGATTCTTCGGAACAACAAAGTGGTTGGAGAACCAGAAGATGGGCCAATTCCTCATATCAAAGTGAAGTTCAGCATTATGATGAAAGATGTTACCGGTTATCAAGTTGCTTTGGAAAAAAGACAACCAAAATTTAATATTCAATCAAAATAATTCTACAATAGAATATCTTATGGAAATGTGGGTTTTATAGAAAACTTTGGGTGTTGTAGTGATTAATAAGGATTTAGTGATTCTTAAACAACTGTAAAGAATATTTTTTTTAATAAAATTTGATTATAATTAGTATTTTTTGTGCACCTGCTTATACCAATTTTATGACATTATAGATACAATACAAGTGATATTTAACTTTAAAATAAATAAGATGGTTATATGAAACATCTATGTATATCTGTATCCATACTAATATTATAAAAGTGAAAGTGTGTTTATTTTTTTTATTGTTTGTCCTTCTTCACGTCGAAACGGAGTAACGGATTGGCATGATTTGTTTTGTGTGGAGATAGTTGGAAGGCTGGACAGTGATATAGTACTCGTATACTTTTTATCGCGGGAGATTACTTAATTCCCACAGGAAATAACGTAATAATACAATCCAAAAAAATATTTATTATAAGAATTATTAGAAACTTTGTATATATACTCTTCAATAAAATGAAATAAATACGTGTCTTAGCATTTTTCTAAATTCATCCTATAAGGGGGTAAAATAGGGGATGAAGGTTTGTACGAAACTACCTTTTTAGAGATTTTTTTTTGTAGTTTTAGCGTGAGCGAAGCCGCCGATTCTGCTTGTAATAAATAAATAATACAATTGTTCGCATCGATTGTCTACATTTTCATAAATAATCTGGTAGGTATACAAAACGATTAATCATAAAAGTGACCTTTCATCATGGAGCCTATTCTCCTGTGAAAAAAAAGTTTTTGATATTACTAAGATTGCTATTGCTATTATATTTTAAAAGCCACTAGGTGTTAAGCTATTGCTATTATGTTTTGGAAGCCTAGGTGTTAATAAAAATTAATTTAATGTATTTTCAAATTTTAAAAATGTACTGCTTTGGATTTTTCCCTTTGTATGCACACGATTACCCATCTGGACACCAAATTTCAACTTTCTTGGTCATCTGGAAGTGGGTTAGGTTTTACTACTATATGTATTGTGATATTACTACTACTATGTGATAGTGATAAAAATGCCGATTTTTAGACGTTAATATCTCAATAATCGTTTGAGATGCATTTATCAAATTGAGGGTTGACGTTAATCTAAGAGGATTTAATAAATGAACCAAATTTTATGTATTTATGTTAAATAGATTTTGAGTTATTGAGAAGTCAAAAGTGGTAAAAAATGGTTCGCGTAAAATAACACAAGGTGCTGCGTCTCCAGTTCCTTTGGCTTGAACTTGGCTGGACACTTTGTCTGTCCTTCTCGTATCAAACAAAATTTGATCTTTTTTTTGGCTTCCAGAGGTGACATATTAAATGCAGAAATATGACATTTGATTTTAATTAGGGAGTCATCTCTCCTCCGATAAGTCCATCAGAACTTGCCACTAAATAATAATCATCGGAATCAATAAACAGTCCACACTCCGAAACTTTTAGATTGGTAGTTGTGGAAAATCTTGCACGGCCTCCTCTGATTCATGTTGGTTTCCATATTTGGTTGCTGTATTTCCTTTGAAGTTAGTGTAAAGTAGTAACTATTTTATTGTAGACAAACTCGGAGTACCACAAATCATTGTTATTTTGACCTTTAGTGATCAGTTCTAATTCTTTTATTTCGTCCTTGTTTTTTTACAAGCATGCCTAAAAGTCTTCTTTTTATTTTTAAAAAGGCAGTCAGGGATATCTTCTTCCAGCGCAAAGACGATTAATAATATAATATAATATATAGATAATGATTTCATATAATATATAGATAATGATTTCATTCTTCCAATGTTTTACGGTGCCAACTACTGCTTTTTGGAGAAGTAAAGCATTGCCCTCAACTTTTTTTCACAACGGTACACAACGATTGTGATTGTTCGTTTTTTTGCCCAAATGCTTCAGTTTGGTACAAAAAATTATCAAAAGGTGATTCTAGCATTCTACTTTTTTATCCACGGGATTAAGACCGTATCAAGAGTCTATTTATGATATCAGAGTCACCATCGCCAATAAGTATGTGATATTTAACGCCATGCATTTCAAGGCTCCTTTGGAAACCTTCCATGATTATGTCTTCTTCTATCGATGTAGCGCTGTTAGACCAGTTTTTAAAGCATTTATGGTCCTGTTTAAGCAACTCTTATTTTTGGGCCCTGGAGCAAATGTAGCAATATTTATTTGTTATATCCTAGACATATATATATATATACAAGACTCTTTTGGTTCTATAACCAATAATACAAGCGCATCCAGAAAAATAACTATAGCCGGTCTTAAAAGATTTGCAGATCCATCTGCAATAACTTTAACCAAAGGATAACCCTCTTTATCAAAATGAAAATTTTATATTTTATAGAAAGTCTGACTAGGCATACATGAAATATTTGTAGCGCCGCAGATTTCTTACAGTTGCGAATAACCATTTCCAGTACAAATTATACCTTCATCCTTACTGCAGCGTGCACATATGAAATGAAACTTACTTATGTTTCCTAATCTTAATTCTTAGCAAAATTTTAAATGAGTGAAATTGCTATCGAAAGATTTGTGTTTTATATTGTCAATACAATAAACAAATGTTTTATTTCTTCAATTTTTCGTCCACATAACTTATCTGTCTCATTCTCGACTAAATCTGGTGCAAAAATTATCTCAACAGTCGAAGACTGTATAGTGTTACATGACATGTTATTATTGTGTTCTTTTTAATTTACTTTGTCAGACTCAGATTAGATTCCTTCGTCAATTGAAATACATCGTCCTTGCATATTACTGTCCGGTAATTCCTTGTCAATCTTGGATGTACTGAAAAATAATAGAATGATAATAGTTCAAATTATATTTAACGGCAAACTAATGACAACGGGCTTCAATAAAACTCAATTACTACATAATATTATGTAATATCTGCAATGATTTCCATTAAATTTATATGTGTTGTAGACCAACTGTGAGACATAACACTATCATACAAAAAAAGAATAGATATTCAAAATTGGTTCATAATTCATACCAAAAAAAACATACACGCGAATATAGAAAATCAACATCAGCTATTCCATACCTTTATATTTTGAGAATGGATATTTGCATTTCTTCATTTTAATTCCATATTGAAAACGTTATACATTTAGCTGTAATTTAAAATTTAGAAAAATAATTATTTTATAAAACAAAAAAAATTGTGCTTATAACTCCTATAGAATTTTCTAATCAAAAAGCTAGTCCTAGAAAATAATAAGTAAGGCCTTGTTTAAAATTAGAACACACATACAAAATAATGAAGGTCTAATTGCAAAAACAATAATTGCACTATTTAAAAAAAACACTTTGTTATTATAACGTAGAAACATTTGTTTACATTTGGGGAGACAAATAGCTATATGTATAGAGAACATGTTACCATAACATTTCACTTGGTAATGTACCTACTATTCTGAATGGTTAACCTAATAGAGCTTCTTATTCTTCTTCTTCTGCACGGCGTTTTCCGCACTTGAGCATTATTGCCCGTTGTGGGTGAGCTGTGTGTGGTGTTAGTCTTTTCATCCCAGAGTTTCCCAGTATTCCAACAGGCTGCCTGTGTCCTGGAAAATTTCCGGGAGCGATCCTCTGGGGCCAAGTTTCTCTACGCGTAGTTGTTCCAGTTCACTACATTCCATAAGGATGTGGGCTGGTGTTTCATCCCCTCTGAGGCATGCTCTGCACAGGGGGCTGTCTGTGATTGTGAGATTTTTAGATTTATACCTATATTGAAAAGATGTTTGTTGAGACGGCAGTGACCTGTTATAAGCTCCACCGCCGTTTTTAGTTTTGTTCTACTTAAGCGTATTAGTTTAGTTGTTATCTGCTTATTTAGTTTGGGGAATGCTGCTTTGGATATACGACAGTCAGTGTGGGTATTCCAAAGTATATCTACTGTTTTGTTAGTTAGGTCGTGTAGCCACGATTTGTATTCAGTGAAGGGAATTGGAGTTAGTGGTGTAGGTCCTTGAACCTTTAATTTTGATGCCTGTTTAGCCAAATTGTCTGCAGTTAAACTGCCTTCAATGTTGGCGTGACTCTTTACCCAAGAAAGCTTAACTTTATTGGTTAAAGAAAGGTGTTCTAGAGTGTTATGACATCCTAGTATGTATTTTGATTTGGTAGTATTCTTTGTTAATGCATGCAATAGTGATTTACTATCGGTTTTAATATGTATTAAGGTGTTGTTTATTGATTTTGTTAGTATTTCTTGTGCGCCAATTGTGATGCTGGCGCATTCTGCTTGTAACACTGAGTTATACCTACCCAGTAGGTGGCTTATTTTAATATTAAGAGTTGGATAATATATGCCTACTCCTGTACCTTCCTTGGATTTAGATCCGTCAGTGTAGATGAAATGAGTGTGTGTTATTTCTTATCATACATCATCTTCTTCTTTGTTCTCTGTTAGCTCGATGATGTAATGTTTTTCAATGATATGGGTTTTGTTTATCCTGTGGTTAGCCCATCTAATTGATGGGCATTCTTTATCGTAGTATGGGAGGTTTTTGGTGTGTCTTCCCTGATTGCTCATCCATTCATTGGATGATTGCAGTTCCTAATAGAGCTGTCATAGTAATACTTGCAATGCTTTAGAAATATATATGGTAAGTCCGGGAGGGTTGCCTATAGTTTAAAAAAAAGGATCAATATTAATTATATGTGTAAGATACTTTATTTTGTTGTTTGTTTATTTTAATTCAATGTTTATTTATGCCATTCAGATTAAATTTGTAATTATTATGCAATATATTCTAGATTAAAAGAATGATTTTTAAAAATAATAGAAAATGGGCATCTCACCAGACATGTGGGTTAGTTGCCTATAGATGTCAGGGATAGATACCCACGAATAATTAGTGCATAATCAGACGTTACTAAACTAAACTAAAGCATTTATAATACAAATTGGTGGATTGTTAACAAAACAATATCACAATGTTAGATTATGAAACAATTTA